TATATATATATATATATATATATATATATATAGATAGATATATATACACATATGTATATATACACACACATGCACACGCACACGCTCACGCACATGCACACACACACACATATACTTATATATTTATATATATATGAAGTTTGAATCATTGCAACTAAATCATGACTTCTCCCTTACTTCACTCTAACAGGACATCTGGCCAGTGGACCATGCTGTTGGGTTTGACTATGGGGCTGCCCTTGCTGACACATACGCAACAGCACTCATTGGCCTCAATCGCCGTGCAGAGATCAATGAAAACTCGACGGTACTTGTGACAGCTGCTGCAGGAGGCTTAGGGTTGGCAGCAGTTGACCTGGCTGCCAATGTTTACAAGGCGAAGGTGGGCCTGTGTGATGGCTTGGGAGTTCTTATTTTTCTGTCTGTCTTCTTTTCTTCCTCCTCCTCTTTTTCTTCATGTTTTTTTTTTTTTTTTCTTTCTTTCTTTTTTTTTCTTTTTCTTTCTTTTTTTATGATAACGATGATAATAATGGAGATAGAGATTATGCTATATATTTGCCTCATCATGCCGCCATCATCCTTGTCATTGCCACATGAAGGATTCCTCTCTGCACCCTCCCTCAGGTTATAGGTGTGTGTGGCACTGAAGACAAGGCTGACCTGGTGAGGCAAAAGGGTGCTTGGTCGGCTCTTAAGTACAACAAGAAGCACGTGGAGTCCAAGGTATGGGATGTGTTGACGTTATTTTGGAGTAGTATTGAATATTCTTTCTTTAATTATATTGCTAGTTGTTTGTTTATTTACATCAAATTTATTTGTAGTGTGTGGTTTCGTTCATTATCTGTGTTTTCTCTCCTTTCCTTTCACATTATCATTTACTGAGATACACATTACTAAGCTGAGCCACATGTATTATTACCCCAGTACTAATTGGGTTTGATATGTTATACTAGGCCAAACCAGGCACTGTATGCAGTCAGCTTCTCAAGGAAAAATTAGAAAGATATAATTTCTCCGCTCTATGATTTCAGCTAATGTCACTACACCTTTATTCCCTTTTCTATGAGTTTTTGATGTTGTTTCCTTTTTCTTTTGTTCTAATGCTATCTGTATTGATGCTGTTTTAATGTTATTAACATGACTGATAGAAATTATAAGATGTAATGAAAGAGAATGTTTGAAAAACTCAAGGAAAAGGGGAAACAGGTCAGCTAAGTATTACTAGTAATTGGTGTCATGGTGACTAAACTTAATGATCACTTTATTCATATTATCCTATATTTGCCTCTTAATTATCTCTTATTTAGGTAGACTTTCACCCATATTTATGTTCTTCCTCTTAACCTTCATATAACCTCTATATGGAAATTTATCAGAGAGTCTTTGAAATTCCAGGTGAAGGAAGTGACAAATGGAAAAGGTGTGGATATCATATTTGATGCCGTAGGTGGCGACATATTTAACGAAACACTCTCTTGGTAAGTGTAGTAAAATGTTAGTTTTTTTAAATGAAGGAATGAGAAGATGAGAGTGTGAGATTGAGGATATTAGTGAAAATAAGAACATGAAAAAGCATGAATTTGTGTGTGAGGTTGAGTCTTGCTGAGTGAGTGATGAAAGAGAGAATGCTTTTGCTTATTTCATTCACCTTTACACTACTGACTGATGTAGATATGAAAGTAATGATCTATTTGTTTGGTAAACTGTGCCAAAAACCTGTCAATTTACTCTCAAAGAAACACAAACCAGGTTACAGAATAAAACAAAAATTCTTCCTCACACAAAAATTAAAACAGACTTACACAACACCATAGCTGTGCAATCACAAGTGAATCAAACATTGTGATTCATTTTTCAATCTATATCTTTTCAATCTGTGAAAGACCAAGGTTATACAGATATTCCATTCTGAATTTAGTCTACAAAAATACTGATCAACTCATTCAACCCTATTTAAGCAAGTTGACATAAAGGATCTCATTTCTGGAAGGGAAGGGAGGTTCGAAACAAGAGGACCTGCCAGAATGTGGCCTACCTAGTCATAGCACATGCTATCCTTATGTACAAAGCCTCTTTTTACATCGTCTACAATATTACAAAGAGAAATCAAGGTCAAACTAGAAATTATAACACAAATTAAATCTTATGCATACCATGGAAAAAATAAAATTACAGCATGCAGACTCATCTAAACCCTTTTTTCCAGTATTGCACACGAAGGTAGTGTAATTGTTGCTGGGTTTGCCAGTCGTGTCATCCCACACATCGAAACCAGCCAACTCCTGCCCAAAGCTGTGTCTCTGATTGGCCTGTCTCTCACACACTATAGGGATGCTGACAATTCAGTTTACAGGTAGGTTGAAGGAAGGGAGGTGAAGGAGGAGGAGAAGGAGAGAAAGAGAAATAGAATGATAAGGAGAGGGAGAGAGAGAGAGAGAGAGACAGAGACAGAGACAGAGACAGAGAGAGATAGGGGCAGGGTGAAAAGAGGGAAAGATAGAGGTCTGAAGGAGAGACCAAGGGAGAGAGAGAGAGAGAGAGAGAGAAAAAAAAAGAGCAAGAGAGAGAGAAAGAGAGAGATAAAGAGAATGAGAGAGAGAGAGAAAGAGAGATAGAGAGTGAGAGAGAGTGTGAGCAAGAGAGAGAGAGAGAGATGGAGAGTGAGAGCAAGAGAAAGAGAGAGAGACCTTATTCTAAAAGAACAACTTTTCTCTTGCAGACAAGCCATCGAAGATGTGATAGAGATGCACGAAATGGGGCTGATCAAGCCACACATCTCGGCCAATTTCAAGCTGGAGGAGACCGGGGAGGCCTTTGAGTTCCTGAGGGAGAGAAAGTCCACAGGGAAAGTGGTGCTTGATATCCGATAGTCGGATTTAGTCAGTTACTTTTAGTAATCATTGGCAATGTTTATATTTGGATCACTACTTTCTTTAGTTTATGTAAAGGGAATATAATGGGAGATTTCTGCCTTCTTCATTATTAATTTGGAAGAATATCGCAGGAGCTGCTTCTCTAATTATTTACCGCTTGCTGTATTTGGTTATGTCTGTGCTCTTCTTCATTTCCATAAGAAAATAGTCTGAGTTATGTTACTTGTTGCCTTAGTTGTAAATAAAATGTCTTAACTATGGACCATA